AGAAAGCACATAGCTACTATGTCTACAGTTCTCAATATGAAAGAGAATGAGATGGACATACTTGCCAACTTCCTCGGCCATGACATTCGCATCCACAGACAATATTACAGACTACCAGAGGGGACACTGGAGCTGGCCAAAATCAGCAAAGTGTTGATGGCCATGGAGCAGGGAAGAGTGACGGAATTCGAAGGAAAGAGCCTCGACCAGATACAAATTGAGCCTGAAGGTAATTCTTGATATTATTAAAATATGTATGATTTTTTTCCCCTAAAGGCCACTTGTATTTTTATTTTCTGTGCGACAGGGAGAGCAGTAGAGATCCTCTCACAAACGGACGGGCTAAAAGAAACTTCAAGCGGAGAACCTTCAACCATTCATCCAGATGCACCCCATGGTAGTGGCAGTGCCCCTTCTGGTAAGTGTACCAGGTGGGGGATTACAGCCAGGCTGCTTGGTCCTAACCCTGGGAGTGTATATTGCTAATATATTTTTATTTCTCTCCCTAGAACGTGTAAGAAAGCCATGGTCTGCATCTGAGGTGAAGGCTGTGGAGAAGACCATGACACCTTTCATACAGACTGGAAAGGTCCCTGGGAAGTCTCACTGCCTGGCCTGCATTAATGCCTCACCAGATGACCTTAGACATCGGACATGGAGTGGCATTAAATTCTATGTCAAAAATAGAATCACTGCAATTCGAAAACAAAATCTAAAATAAAATTCCTTTAAAATAGTTGTTTGGTTTCTATTGACTGTTTTGTATTACTTAAAGTAGTCCCAGTAAAAAAAGATTATGTCTATGGGTCCCATTCTGAACGGCCCTGTCAAAGGGACCCACCAGGTAACAAAAACGTGTAGGTGTGTGTATGTGTGTGTGTGTGTGGAGACTGCAAAAAATGATAAAATATGAGGTAATAATTGCTTGATTTAAAGTGTTTTTTATCTTAATCTGACACGTTGTGACTGTGTAAAAACTAGATTCTCCAACATTTAGTTTGATTTAATGAAATGAAATAAAACAAAATTTCCAAGGGAGACATTACTGTATCTTTTTAAAACAAGATCATTTTCCTTTCTCTCGCAGGCTATTCTTGTTTTACAGCAGTCACAATGTGCTCAAATCAAGACACATTTTTCCACATTGAGCGATTTTTTTGACTTTCTTCTCCTTACTTTTTGCAGCAGAGGTGTTTGTATGAGGGGGGCAGTGTGGGCCTGTGACAGCGCTGGGGGGCACTGGGATGGGACCTGAGCCATGACAGTGATAAATAGGCCTTTTAATAACAGCTGCCCCCCCAGCCAGCCCAGTCAGTGTCCTCTGAGTATTTATGCCTATGTTTATTTATGCACCCACAGTTTGCAAAAATCACCACCGCAGGGTTCGCATCACTCTCTCTGTGTGGGGGTCGCTCTGGTTTAACTTTAGGTGAAGGTAGATAAGTACAGCATAATGGATTCTCACCTTAATACACTGTGTTTACATATCGCTACAGCTCTAAGTTTCTATACTGCCATTCTGATATTAGGCTAGTTATTCAATGTATTTGTGTTTACCCCTAAATCACAACAGTAGTTAACTCTGAGGTCTTAGTAAAGCTGTCGATTCGCCAACACACATCAGAGAATCAAACAGTTCAAACACAAAATGATAACGAACACATAGAGCCATTGGTCCATGTGTTCGTTAGTGGTTGAATGTCGAACGTCCTGGATCATCTACAGGCTCCGATCCTCGCAGATTTTATACTAGCTTCTTTATTATGCTAAAGCTAGAGATTTTATACTAGCTTCTTTATTATGCTAAAGCTAGAGATTTTATACTAGCTTCTTTATTATGCTAAAGCTAGAGATTTTATACTAGCTTCTTTATTATGCTAAAGCTAGAGATTTTATACTAGCTTCTTTATTATGCTAAAGCTAGAGATTTTATACTAGCTTCTTTATTATGCTAAAGCTAGAGATTTTATACTAGCTTCTTTATTATGCTAAAGCTAGAGATTTTATACTAGCTTCTTTATTATGCTAAAGCTAGAGATTTTATACTAGCTTCTTTATTATGCTAAAGCTAGACATTTAAAACTTGCTTTTTTATTGGGCTAACGCTAGAGATTTTTTATATTTTTTGCAATTTTATTTTAGAGTTATTGATCATTTATCTTGTGCCGTGTGCTCCTCATTCCTACTGTTCTGTAACTGCTGATACAACACTGACATTTCCTCGCTTTGGGACCTATAAAACATCTTTAACACATAAATACTCACAGTTCACCATCACAGTCTTTAGATGATTCTGCACCAAAGAACGGCTCAGAACAAAAACCTGTGAGAAATGACTTGGATCCCGCTCCGTGAGGTCGTCCATCAGTCGTGTCACCGCCACGGCCCCGGGGCCACACACGGGGCCCCTCTCATTCAAAACACTTCCCTCCATTTAATTGGTTCAATTAGCAAGTATCCATATACATTTTCTGATATGCATTTTTCATGTCTGCTCTCAATGCTTGGTTAGGAAACAGAGACTTCCGGCGATGATCCACCATTTGGATCAATGTCACGGAGACTAAACGATGGCGCTAATTGAGTAATTAAAAACAGATGTTGGAGCATGAGCTACAACAAAACATTTCTCAACGAAACATCAAAATACTGATTGTAATACCGTGCAATAATAATCTGAATAATGTGCAATAATAATCTGAACTAGAAACCGTTGCAATGGCTGAAGCCATTGCGATTGACTGCGGAACAGATCTAATGTGGAATTTAGCTGAAAAATCCTTGAAATCCTTGAAACTGTTAAAATACTTTAAACATCTTTGAAACTCCTGAAGTATTTGAAGCTCCTGATATCCTTTAAACTGTTATCCTTTATACTGGTTTTCATGTAAAAACCCCTATTAAGTTCCATTATACTGGTTTACATGTAAAAACCCCTATTAAGTTGCATTATACTGGTTTACATGTAAAAAACCCTATTAAGTTGCATTATACTGGTTTACATGGAAAAATCCCTATTAAGTTGCATTATACTGGTTTACATGTAAAAAACCCTATTAAGTTGCATTATACTGGTTTACATGGAAAAATCCCTATTAAGTTGCATTATACTGGTTTACATGTAAAAATCCCTATTAAGTTGCATTATACTGGTTTACATGTAAAAACCCCTATTAAGTTCCATTATACTGGTTTACATGTAAAAACCCCTATTAAGTTGCATAATACTGGTTTACATGGAAAAATCCCCATTAAGTTGCATTATACTGGTTTACATGGAAAAATCCCTATTAAGTTGCATTATACTGGTTTACATGGAAAAATCCCTATTAAGTTCCATAATACTGGTTTACATGGAAAAATCCCCATTAAGTTGCATTATACTGGTTTACATGGAAAAATCCCTATTAAGTTGCATTATACTGGTTTACATGGAAAAATCCCTATTAAGTTGCATAATACTGGTTTACATGGAAAAATCCCCATTAAGTTGCATTATACTGGTTTACATGGAAAAATCCCCATTAAGTTGCATTATACTGGTTTACATGGAAAAATCCCTATTAAGTTGCATTGTACTGGTTTACATGGAAAAAACCCTATTAAGTTGCATTATACTGGTTTACATGGAAAAAACCCTATTAAGTTGCATTATACTGGTTTACATGTAAAAACCCCTATTAAGTTGCATTATACTGGTTTACATGGAAAAAACCCCTATTAAGTTGCATTATACTGGTTTACATGAAAAAACCCTATTAAGTTGCATTATACTGGTTTACATGGAAAAATCCCTATTAAGTTGCATTATACTGGTTTACATGGAAAAATCCCTATTAGGTTGCATGATTACACTGAAGTCCTTGAAACTGCTGAAGTCCTTGAAACTGCTGAAGTCCTTGAAACTGCTGAAGTCCTTGAAACTGCTGAAGTCCTTGAAACTGTTGAAGTCCTTGAAACTCTTGAAATCTTGAAACTGCTGAAATCCTTGAAACTGTTGAATCCTTGAAACTGTTGAATCATTGAAACTGTAGAAATGTCTGAAAGAGCTGAAGTCCTATTAAAATGCATGGGCCTATTAAAATGCATTGCAGAATTCTCAATGCAGATTTTTGTCCGATTGCGGAAAAACCGGAAATCGCTGAAGTCCCAAAAGTAATAGCAATAATCTCCCAAACATGTGGAACGTTTTGATGTATAACTTGTGGAAATTGTTGAAAATGTGAAAGCTGTGAAACGTGTCAAAAAAAATGACGGAATAAAGAAATACAAAACCAATGGTTGACTGCGGAAGGTTCCGCAGTCAATCAATAATGTGCAATACAGAACCACATGTGTCACTGTCACTATGTCCCAGAGCCTCATGCTGCTAACATGCTAACATACAACTATACGTCTGCACTAGAATATACAGGATTTAGACTAGCTTCTTTATTATGCTAAAGCTAGAGATTGTATACTAGCTTCTTTATTATACAAAATCTTATAATCAGGGACGTTAACACAAGAGTGATGTGCTCCCTTCTATTAAAACCAGTGAGAAGTCTGCTGTAGTGGAACCTTGCCTAGTCTTACCATGTGTAAACTCTGGTCCATGGTCATTTCCTACATGTACGTCTGGGTCTTACCATGTGTAAACTCTGGTCCATGATCATTTCCTACATGTACGTCTGGGTCTTACCATGTGTAAACTCTGGTCCATGATCATTTCCTACATGTACGTCTGGGTCTTACCATGTGTAAACTCTGGTCCATGATCATTTCCTACATGTACGTCTGGGTCTGATCCTAGTGGCTGCAGTTTCCTCGGTTGAATCCCCTCCGACCAATCAGAGAGCGGGGGAGGCGGGTGTTGTAGTGACGGTGTCGGTGACGTCAAGAGTTTGTGCTGAATTCACTGGTTGTAGTTTGTCGGAGAATGCGATAGTAAAATAATCTGTTATGGTTCAATCCAAATATCAAGAAACTGAAGCCGGAGCAAGAGGAATGTTTAGCACTTGCTAAACCTCTACAGAGACTGCAGAGTGAAAACCTACAGCACGGTCAGAGAGCAGTGTTTTGGTGCTGACAGCTGAGGTGATTTGAGTGAAGACCTGCTGGTGCTGACAGCTGAGGCGATTGGAGTGAAGCCCTGCTTGTGCTGACAGCTGAGGTGATTGGAGTGAAGACCCGCTGGTGCGGACAGCTGAGGTGATTGGAGTGAAGACCCGCTGGTGCTGACAGCTGAGGTGATTGGAGTGAAGACCCGCTGGTGCTGACAGCTGAGGTGATTGGAGTGAAGACCCGCTGGTGCTGACAGCTGAGGTGATTGGAGTGAAGATCAGCTGGTGCTGACAGCTGAGGTGATTGGAATGAAGCCCGCTGGTGCTGACAGCTGAGGCGATTGGAGTGAAGACCCGCTGGTGCTGACAGCTGAGGTGATTGGAGTGAAGGCCCGCTGGTGCTGACAGCTGAGGTGATTGGAGTGAAGACCCGCCGGTACTGACAGATGAGGTGATTGGAGTGAAAACCTGCTGGTGCTGACAGCTGAGGTGATTGGAGTGAAGATCCGCTGGTGCTGACAGCTGAGGTGATTGGAGTGAAGACCCGCTGGTGCTGACAGCTGAGTTGATTGGAGTGAAGACCCGCTGGTGCTGACAGCTGAGGTAATTGGAGTGAAGACCCGCTGGTGCTGACAGCTGAGGTGATCGGAGTGAAGACCCGCTGGTGCTGACAGCTGAGGTGATTGGAGTGGCAGGCTCCAGGGTAGATCAATAACTAACATTGTTCTTATTAAAGTCAAATGAATGGGACATTGTTGAGACGAGGCCTGTGGCTCTGAGTGTGTTGGAAACAATACTATTATCTCACTCCCTTCATTGTGCCGCAGACGTCTCTGTGGTGCTGGTGTTGCTGGTTTCTTGATGATCCACCTGGTGTCATGTGATGGTGGAGTGTTATCGTCGTCACCACAGTTGGATTAGGGACTTTCTAGAAATTTGTAATTTGTGGTGTGATAGATTAACTGTCATGATATTTTATTTTGTCTATGGTATACCATGTGCTCCTCTCCCCTGGTTGCTGGTCCATTGTCCGTCCGTGTCCGTGTTCCTGGTTCCTTTGGATTTTGAGTTTGTTTTCACCTGGACTTTTATTTTATCATCATTAAATGTTTATTTTTGACAGGGGTCTCCAACCTTTTCCCTGGAGAGATAATTTTTATTTTATTTTAGACCGTCCACATGATCTTCTCAGGGTGCTTGCCCAAGTCTTGAAAGTCTTAATAAGTATGGATTTTTTAAACACTTTTTTCCAGACCTTGAAAAGTCTTGAATTTTGTGTGAAAGTCTTAATAAATTATGGGGAAAAAAATGTATAGTAGAATTTTACAGTTTGCTCAAAGGCTTTGTGACATCATAAATATGAAGGTAGGCTGTAACTGTTCACGTACTGTATTAGCCTGAATGATGTTCATGATGTCACTGCTGAGCTCTATTGACACATTCAGTAGCTAGCTTAGTGGGCAACAGAAAATGGGTCGTTGCATGTTTTCGAATTTTTAAGGTCTTGGGAAAAAATATATCAGTTTTTTAAAAAGTCTGGAATTTTAATTCGGAAAAGAGCAAGCACCGTGTCTCCTGCTACAGTGGATTAAGTAAAATTTATCTTGAATCAGATTTAGGTTTATTTCCAACACAGATAAAGTAAATGTATTTGTTTCATTGGTAAATCTGTTTTTTAAGCCCGTCAAGATGTTTTCTCATTAATGAACGCACATTTTTAATAGTTTTTGGGCATTTTTTTGTGTAGTGTTAAACCCACAAATCAATCCATCATCATTTGTTAATCCAAAGAATAGGCGTTTTTTATGTTTTTACCCATAAAATGATCCTTTGGTGAGCTACTATGATGCGGGTGGAGAGCTACAGGTTAGACCCATGTCCTATTCTCACTGAGTATTAAAAACACAACAATATTACACTGAGTCTCAACCAATAACATTCTTCTCACTTAAAATCATCATATTGACTTTTAATATTCATGGCTCCAGGCACAGCCGCCCCAGACACAGCCGCTCCAGACACAGGCGCTGCCAGACATAGCCGCTCCAGACACAGCCGCTCCAGACACAGGCGCTGCCAGACATAGCCGCTCCAGACACAGCCGCTCCAGACACAGCTGCTCCAGACAGAGCCGCTCCAGACAGAGCCGCTCCAGACACAGCCGGTCCAGACACAGCTGCTCCAGACAGAGCCGCTCCAGACAGAGCCGCTCCAGACACAGCCGCTCCAGACACAGCCGCTCCAGACACAGCTGCTCCACATCCAGGACATTTCTACAGATAATGACACTGCCACAAAGGAACCCGAAGCCAAATCTTATGAAAAAACACTTAATACACAACTTCAGTTCGAGACAGAAATGCTTTTTTAAAATCCACAAATCCTAAAAGTTGTGAGTAAAAAACAGATGAGGATTTGGACTTCTGTTCCTGGCTCCTCCACCGCTCTCCTTCCTTAAATATACGGCGTGGATATATGTAAATACTGGGGTTTTGCTGAACATTGTGAGAGATTAAGTCTGGCCTCTCGGTTTCTCCGTCTCCTCTCGCTGCACCGGGCTCAGAACCTTCCTAATTCCCACCGCCACATCTCAATCAGACTTCCTGCTAATTTGAGTCACCCTCATTTCATTTTAAACGATTCATTTTTGGCAAATTTCTAAATGGCCCCGATGTGTTCTACAATTTAGTCAATTACTGTTTGAGCCGTGGGGACTCCGGGGAGCGGCAGCGTGCACCGCCTGCGGCACGGCGCCGTAATCGCTTCACAAAAGTTGGGTGTATTGCTAACGTTCTGTTCCACTTATTGAAATGTCAATTGAAGCCAGGACCTTCTTCTTCTGCAGCTTTTCAGCCGCCGTCGCTCTGCACAAGAGTCCTTCACTTCTCAAAAGCCTCTTCTCTCCATTTCACTTTGTATTGTGGCTTTTCAGCGTGTGCTTATTTGAATTGATGTGTTAATCTCCGGCTCGGCCTTTTTCTGTCACTCCTTAAATATACATGTAGAGGAACTACTTGTGTACTGGAGGTAATTATTAATTAGTGGGAAATGAAGAGATGACAACAATCAGATGAGGTCTCAATGAGCGCTAATTAGGGGATTCCCTGTGTATGGGACTGAGCCGTGTGACCCGTGGCCCCAATTAATAAAGTTATTAAAAGCATCGCTGGGAATGTCTCTGCTGCACTGTTCCTGCGCAGAGCTGCTGGTCAGGTCTGAGGCCTGGATCTGAGCCTTCGAGGCCACGGGGACCAGGAGGTGTCAGTCTGAGGTGTGACAACGTGAATGTGCAGCAGACGGCGAAGGCTCAAGGTTTGAGGCTGTACTAGACAAGGCAAATTTAGTTGTATAGCACAGTCCATACGCAAAGCAACTAAAAGGACTGAACAAAGAAAGAGAGAAACAGTTGCACAAAACATTGACATCATAAATTATCAGAGTAAAGATACAATCCCTGTTTTTAGAACTGATTTTAACCTGGATTTGAACTCTGTCAGGGAAGACTGTCCTAGATTGTTGCTGCATGTTTAGTCCTGACCCCGGGACCAGCAGGAGGCCAGTCCCTGTGCTCCTCAGAGTCCCAGCAGGAGGCCAGTCCCTGTGCTCCTCAGAGTCCCAGCAGGAGGCCAGTCCCTGTGCTCCTCAGAGTTGGTTCATATGGCTCTAACATGGCCTTGGAGAGACTTGAAAGAAACAGAGCTGCTTTAAAGTCTATTCTCTGAGCCACAGAGACCTGAGACCAGGACTAATGTAACACTACTTCCTGGTTCTAGTCAGTTGAGGTCAGGACTTGATCTTTTGATCTATGTTTGCTTAATTAGACTTGTTCAGTTTGAAGTTTTTGACCTGATGCAGGGATCTTCTAGTATAGAAAGAGTAGGGACCTCCTCCTCTAGGATCCTAAATATTGTAGATGTTATAGATGTAAGCATGTGTTTAAAAGCCTTGTGAGGCTCTTTGTGAATCTTGCTATAGTCCATGACCTTTTTGTTTATTACTTAAACCTTTGTGGTGGTTTGTGTCTGAAGATCAATGTTTGACTTTGTGGTAACTTTCTGCAGCTCCATGTCTTGTCATGAATGTGTGCTTAACTCCTCGCTGCTGTAGTATAGACCACTAGCTCTGTTTTATAATTAACTTTAGCCCGTGCCCATCCGTCCTCCGCCCCTTTCCCCCCATGTGTCATTCAGTATGTATTAAGCTGTCAGCTCCCCCCTCCTCCGCCCCGCCCACCGCCTCCACGCCACAGCCCAGCCTATTAACTCCTATTGACTGTGACACAAATGTCCCTCCAAAATGAGCAGTTCCGTATCGATTTTCTCCGCCCGCTCTTCACTTCCCCCTTTCACCAAGCCGGGAGTTGAGGTCTTAATTCTGACTGATTGTAGACTTTGGTGGGATCGCCGCGCCTCTGTCCTGGACTTGTACGCTCCCTGGCCTCGATTAGACAATTAAAAGACTCGGGTCCCCAGGGTCCTCGGCAGCGGAGGGGTCAAACTTAGCTTCTCCCATCGCGCCGCGCTAAATCGATCGATGCTTTTGATGGAGGAGTGACATCTACTCTAACTGCTGTGGTCACAAAGGAGAGAGACAGCGGGTATCGATGTCGTATCACTCTCCAGGCTTTGAAAGAAAAATGATTACGTGCTATGAGAATCAGATATTGACACTTGGCGGAATAAGGCTTTCTCCCCAAGGAGCACAAGGAGTATAAATATTTATCTGTTGTGTTTTATGTGCGGCGTGTACAAGTCCTGTCCCTCCGCGGAGCTATTAGGGCCAGTCTTCTCTGTCGCTCATCCATGACTCGGCCTTCTTTGAGTTTTTACAGGCAGCGTGAAATTGCCTCGGCTGTTGCGCCTCTGTCTGAAGTTGATAGTAAAACATGTTGTAATTACATTTTATTGCCCTCACTGTTGAAAATCCAAATGGCTTTCGCGGTGGCCATCATATCGTGAGTGCGCGTCGTAGTGCGCACACAGCCCGGACAACTCAAGCGTTCACACAAGTAAAAGTAGCAAGAGTCTAATGGCCGCCGCGTCGCTGAGAGTGAGGCCGAGCCCGTGCACTGCCAGGAGATACGGGAATGCAATGTGTTTATGCCTAAGCTGAGAACATGGTCCGAATACTAGTGAGCTAAAACGGTCTGACACTTTCTCCCTCTGTATTCTAGATTTTTATTAGCTACACCACTTCGGCTGCTGTGGCTTAAACTACTGCTGCATTTTAATACTATTGTTAGCTACTTCTAGATTGATCTACCTGAATGATCCATAAAGTATCTATGTATCTCTGACCATAATCCAATCCAGGTTTAAAGCAGTTCTGTTTAGCTGTGCAGACGACTGAAGGACTGTATTTGAGTTGCCTTTTGTACGAACTGTGCCATACATATAAATCTGCTTTGCATTATCTTACCTGAGCTCTTTTGCCGTCCGCACGACCAGCTGTGATCCTTTTACGATATTATTGTGATATTTTAGTCTTTCACCTACAATTGCATCTGCTTTGAAACACAAGAGACAAATAACATAAACATTAATGACATTCAAATGCATTTATTTATTTATTTTTTATTTTTATATTTGTTGAATGTTGTTGTGTCTTTCTGTTTTGTTGTCTTTAATAAAGTTTTTTTTTTTTTTATCGCGCATATTTTTTATATGGATATATTATATTGCGATAACGATATTTTTTTGTGCAGCCCTGATGTGTTTCATGTTTTGCGTCAAAGGCATCAAACTCTTTTATGACTTTGGGGATTTACTTTTTTGGCTGTAGTTTTATACCAAAGTATCATCGTCTTCTTCATTCATATTTATTTTGACAAAGGTTTGAGGTTTAGGTAAGTTTGAATATTCTTTGCCAGTGGATTTTTCACAGTAAAACCAGTTCTATTCATAGACTTCCAGATATAGTTGGACTGAACCAAATATAAAGATTGGACTGATAGGGGCTGATATTTGACTCTTGCTAATTGTGTTTTGGGTTCAATATTTAGAATGTTCTCATCTTTAAAATGAGGTATAACGTGCCGTGGTAGCACACAGCCTCGAAGCTCCGATGCTTTGATTTTAACAACAATAAGATAATTGAGAATCATTTTAGGGGTCATTAAGATTTTTTTTTTTTTCTTTTGCATTAATCTATTGAAATTACACGTATCAGTCGTTAATCTAAATCAATGGGTGTTTTGTTACTCTAAAGATTCTATGAAAGGGCTTGCCTATCCACAGAGCTGTCTTGTAACCTTCCTGGCCAATCGATATTCAGGATTCAAGATAAATTCTGAAGCTTCTAAACACTGCAAAAAATGATGAAATATTAGGTAATAATTCAGTGCTTTTTTATATCTGAATTTGATTTAATTCTGACTGTGTTAAAACCAGATTCTTCAACGCGACAAAGATATTTAGACTTATTTCCAGAACTTTTGCTTGATTTTCTCATTCTAAGTGAGACGTTTCTGTATCTTTTTAAAACCAGAAAATTTGCTTTGTCCCATTCGGGGAATCTAGTTTTAAGGACCATAGACTTCATAGACTTCAAGGCAGCACTCCATGGCCTCGCACCAAAGTACTTAAGCGACTTGTTGGTGCCATATGAACCGGCCCGGACTCTGAGGAGCACAGGAGCCTCTTGTTGGTTCCAAGAGTCAGAACTAGACATGGAGAGGCAGCGTTTCAGATTTATGCAGCTAAAATCTGGAACAATCTTCCTGAAGATATGAGGCTGGCATCTACTCTGGCAGTTTTCAAATCCAGGTTAAAAAACAGTTCTGTTTAGCTGTGCAGACAACTGAACGATTTTATAGATTATAGATACTCTTTTTTATGCAATGTGGCTATTTATTATTTTAATCCTATGTGTGTTTTTAATGTTTTAAGGTTTTTAATTACTTGTGTTTTTATTCTGTTTTTTTATTATTATCATTATTTTTTTATTTTTTTTAAGTGTATATGTAGATTATAATGTTTCTGATTTGTTTGACATGATGTGGGCTGTGAGTTGCCTTGTGTTGGAAAGGCGCTATACAAATAAAAGTTGATTGATTGAAGGTTCAGTCAGAATGTGCTCAAACTAAGACACATTTTGCCAAATTTCAGCCATTTTTGACTTGTTTTTCATCACTTTTTGCAGTGTAGATATTGGATAACCCGTGCTTTTCTTTCTCTCTGTTGTTTTAATCCATCTGAAATGTGAAATTACTTCTTGTTTTGTCTTTCTCTCCTGCTTCTTAAACCACCCACCCATGTTTCAGTCATCACAGATACTCATCCAAACGACACGGATTCCTTTCCCTCTGGCCTCTGGCGTCTCCCTCCGTCTCTCTTCTTGCTCTTACAGTCCTCACAGAGACACATCGACTCTCTCACTTGTCGATGATTGATGCTGACTGCGCTGAACCCTTTTGCAAATCTGCGAGTGGGTCGTGCTAATGCTCTGTCCTGTTTATGACGCCATAATTAGAGAGAGCAGAGGTTCTAACGGCCGCGGTCCGCCACACACCCAGTCAATAATGCAACAACCACCGCTCCTCACACAATCAAGACGTGCAGAAAATCCATAGCGCTGTGTTTATGGCCGTCTTCCCAGCGTCAACTCCTGATTTGTTAGTGTTTTGTCCCCTACTATTAACTAATCCAGCAGAATTGATTCAGGTGGTGCTACAGTAGATTGCTTTGAGAGGGATGGCCGGGCTGCGGTGGTGTCGGTCCGGTTCCACACATTATGGTCTTTCCGATGCACTTCTCTTCGTAATTAAAACAGTGTTGGTTAAAGGGCCCCTCACAAAGAGCGTGTGTTGTTCAGAGCCGTAAAGGAAACACGTCTGTCTTTTGCTGTAAACATTATGTGAGTGTTGAAATCCAATCAGGACTGGTGCTTTTGAGCCGGTCCCCAGTGCAGCTCCGTCAGGTTTCTGCCACAGTCCATTTTACAGACAACTCTTAATTTACTTTCGCTTTTGTCTCGTGTTTTGGTCTATAAAATCTACAATTTATTTCTATTTTATCATGTATTTTTATTCAGTAATTATGTATTCTATTTTCTATTATGCTAAAGCTAGAGATTATAGACCTGCTTCTTTATTATGCTAAAGCTAGAGATTTTATACTAGCGTCTTTATTATGCTAAAGCTAGAGATTTTATACTAGCTTCTCCATCCATCCATCCATTTTCTTCCCCTTAATCCATTTCTGGGTCGGGGGGGTGGCAGTCAGAGCTGCACCCAGTCCACAGAGCACCAGCCCCTCACTGATCCTCCTGCAGGTGGTGAGTCCACAGGAGCTGAGATCTTTCAGTGGGGGCTTTGGGCAAAGTAGGGTTAAGTGTCTTGCCCAAGGACACAACGACAGCAGTCATCAGTGGGAGTCGTGAAGTAGGTCTTACGGTGGGCTTGAACCCACAACCTTCAGGCCCAAAGGCCAATGCTCTACCAACTGAGCTACTGTCGCCCTACTAGCTTCTCTATTATGCTAAAGTTAGAGATTTTAGAACTTGTTCTTTATTATGCTAAAAGTTGTGATGCACACGATACTTTAGCGTATAAGTATAAAAGTAGGATAAGTAGAAAATCTTAAGCTTTAGCATAATAAAGAAGAATTGAGTCAAAAATCTCCTAAATGATGTTATGCACTAATGACGCTGGTGAAACGCTGCAGAGCTAATCTTTAAACCCGTTGTCAATACTTAATGCTAACGTGGGGCCCGGCCACAGCTGATCATGTAAGTAAGAGGCAGAGGAGAGATCCAGGGGTCAGTGTCCTGGGGCCCTCAGATCACACAGATCAACTGTCAGTCCTCACTTTGACAATGTGGAAACAGACCTTCTCCCGAGACGCTTCCATTCCTGAGTTTTAAATCTGCAACTTAAGATATCAGACGTCAGGAGAAGAAGAGAAGAGAGGAGAAATTGCAATGATAAACAGTTGTGAAATCTCAAAATAGACACTATTCAATTCAATTTCTTCTTGCATCGCCCTAAATCACAACAGTAGTTATGTCTGTGGACTTTACAAAGCTGTCGATTTACCAGCACAGATTAGAGACTCAAACCGTTCAGGAAACGCAATGATAAAAAACACATAGAGCCATTGGTCCACACTGCAAAAAATGGTAAAGTATAGTAATAAATGCTTAAATCAAGTGGTTTTTTAATCTTAATCGGACACATTCTCAGTGTCATTTCAAGAACTGTTGCTTTATTGTTTTATTTTTTCATTCAAAGAGAGAAATTTCTGTATCTTTTTAAAACAAGATCATTTTGCCTCCGTCCCTCTGTCCCATTGGAGAATCTAGTTTCAAGGCTCAGTCAGAATGTGCTCAGATTAAGACACTTTTTGGAAGATTTTAGCCATTTTTTTACTTATTTTGCAGTGTATATTCACTTTGATGGCTGTTTAATACATAGTGCACATCCATGTTTAGTTTCTCTGTGTACATATTCTGAGTGCGACCGTTGTTAAAGGTTGTAAAACTGCGTTCATAAAACTTCCTGGACATTGGTGAGAGCCGGACCTGCCCCAGCCCTGAACCCCGTCCTCTCCTTTATCGTTAAATGTCGTTCATCATTCGGCCGCAGCATTAATCAAAGCCAGACACGGTTGTATGAGAGAAGCGAAGACTGTCCTGCTCAGCATTCTCTGTCATGAATAATCCAGGCTCCAGCAGCAGAGAGCCCCCCCTCCCCCCTCCACCCCCTCCACCCCCTCCACCCACCTCCACCCTCTCCAGACCCGGGGACGGAGTGTTTGGTCACCGTGTTGAAACCAGAGTCCGCCTCGCCGCTTCACCCCGTCTGGAAACTCGACCTGAGCGAGCGCATGGGCCTGAGTCATAATTAAATCATCTGGGGGCGCGTGGAGTGTGCTGCAACGGGAACCACAGCAGGAGGCGTAAGGCAAGTGCTCCACAGCCGCCACCGCGATGGCAGCTGTGGACGGTGGGCGATAATACGGCAGCAGCATGAACTATATGACCTTTTCTGGGACTTACTTACTCCCAAGATAACGTTACTTACTGCTGCACAATGTTGCTCAACTACAATTATACAGGTGCTATTTAACTATTCTACTGCTGTGGATCTGAGCGCTGAAGCCACAGGGGCTGGGTGTAAGACTGAAGCCACAGGTGCTGCGTGTAAGACTGAAGCCACAGGTGCTGGGTGTAAGACTGAAGCCACAGGTGCTGGGTGTAAGACTGAAGTCACAGGTGCTGCGTGTAAGACTGAAGCCACAGGTGCTGCGTGTAAGACTGAAACCACAGGTGCTGGGTGTAAGACTGAAGCCACAGGTGCTGGGTGTAAGACTGAAGTCACAGGTGCTGGGTGTAAGACTGAAGCCACAGGTGCTGGGTGTAAGACTGAAGCCACAGGTGCTGGGTGTAAGACTGAAGCCACAGGTGCTGGGTGTAAGACTGAAGTCACAGGTGCTGGGTGTAAGACTGAAGCCACAGGTGCTGGGTGTAAGACTGAAGCCACAGGGGCTGGGTGTAAGACTGAAGCCACAGGTGCTGGGTGTAAGACTGAAGTCACAGGTGCTGGGTGTAAGACTGAAGTCACAGGTGCTGGGTGTAAGACTGAAGCCACAGGTGCTGGGTGTAAGACTGAAGCCACGGGTGCTGGGTGTAAGACTGAAGCCACAGGTGCTGGGTGTAAGACTGAAGCCACAGGTGCTGGGTGTAAGACTGAAGCCACAGGTGCTGGGTGTAAAGCTAGCCTTCCCATAGACCAGACATGTCAAACTCAGTTGTTACAATACAATACAATTCATTCTTGTATTTCCCTAAATCACAACAGAATCATCTCAGAGACTTAACAAAACCATTGAAATCACCAACACAGATCAGAGAATCAACAGTTAAAACACCAAATATACACATGGTATTGGTCCATAGGGTGAGACCAATGTCCATGAATGTTGATGGTCTGTACATGTTGGAGAATGTTAGGATCATCACAGTCACAGTTTTGTTAGAACTAACTGTCCAACTAGTCCAGCAGCGGCCAACCAGTCAGAGACTAAGAACCAATTTTTTTTACTGTATTACTCTAATGGGCACACAGGAACATCACCCCATCCCTTACACACACACACACACACACACACACACACACACACACGATAATGACAGAAATGGACTCCTACAGATCTAAAGGGCTCGACTCGACTCTTTCCAGTTTGTGGGCGTTTCCACCGCTCGCTTTAGCCGCTACCTGGTACTTTTTTAGTAACGGTTTGGCCCTGGTTCTAGCCGGGCCGAGTAGATACCAAAACAATCTGACATCGGCGAACGTCCATTCTGATTCCGAAATGAGTGCTTTCAAGTTCCATCCATCCATCCATCCATTTTCTACCCTTTAATCCATTTCTGGGTCAGGGGGGTGGCAGTCAGAGATGCCACCCAAGTCTCATAGCACCAGCCCAGCTTTCAAGTTCTTACCAAGAAAATGTTTTCTTGGTATAATAAAATCCATTTGGTCAAACCACCTCCAGACTTTTCGGTTCAGCCTCTACTTTGGCTGTAGTGATCTTTCATTTCACTAAAGTCACTTTTAAGCTTCTTAATGTTACTCTGTGATGTCTGTGGGTATCATTCTGCTCCGTCCTTAGCGCTACCTCCACAAACACCTTCTGGTTTCTGGTGGAACCATCGAGCTCGCGCTGGTGTCCTCTCCTCAAACTGAGGAAGGTGTTGACCACATCCAGCGACCAAGGAATTGTTTTGTGGTCTGAGGCAACGTGTTGTTTGTTAGGTTTTGTTTTTTTCTGCAGCAGCTGAAGAGTGATTGACAGCCCACATGAGGCTCACAAACCACGGGTTGGCCAATCCTGAACTGGTCTTACTTGCAGCGTTGATGTAATGGGAAACTATAAAGTGTTATTCTTCATTTTTAAAGCTTATTTTCTAAAACAGATGGGTTTTAAATGTTTTCAATGTGAAGCTAAGCTGGGCTGGGCCTGGTTAGTACTGTGATGGGAGACCTCCTGGAACAGCAGGTGCCACAGTGGGGCGGCTGCGGCTGTAAAGTGCCAAACTGGTTGTGTCCTTCGGCAAGACACTTCACCCACATTAGAATGAGTCTGGTGTGTGTGTGTGTTATCACCACATGTGAAGCGTCTTTAAGAGTCCAGAAAAGCGCTGTATGAAACTGATGCATTAACGTCCATCCATCCATCCATCCATCCATTTTCTACCCTTTTTTCCATTTCTGGGTCAGGGGGGTGGCAGTCAGAGATGCCACCCAAGTCTCATAGCACCAGCCCCTCACTGACCCTCTGCAGGTGGTGAGTCCACAGGAGGACGGCTGCTCTCTGAGTGTGAGCATAGCCTTGATCTTTCAGCGGGGGCTTTGGGCAAAGTGGGGTTAAGTGTCTTGCCCAAGGACACAACGACAGCAGTCATCAGTGGGAGTCGGTGGAGAAGGTGCAGAGGTGGGAATTGAACCCACGACCTTCTGGCCTTAAGGCCAATGCTCTACCAACTGAGCTACTGTCGCCCCTTATGCATTAACGTGAAGCACTTTGTTGCATCCTGTATGAACTGTTCTATAGAAATACCTTGATTTATTGATAGAAGAAAAAAAAACGCATTTCATGTTTTTAAGACCAATTTTCTGACGCCAATGCTAAACATCACCACATTTACTATTACTCCTGTGTCAAAGATGAGGCTGGAGCCAGAGGCCGTGTATTGTAAATATAATAATGTCTGTTATTATAGTCAAATATAACGGAGCCGTCTGTGCAGCTGCCTCCTGTCTGGAACATCCCACACTCACTCACAGACCTTCACTGCTCAAAACCCACCTGCTCAAAACTGCCTGCAGCTTATTTTACTTTTTTTTTGTTTCTTATCAATCTGTCCAAAAAGCTCTGTTTGAGTATGATTTATTATAATATCTTTGTATTTGTATTCGGAGAAAGCAGCCTTTTGTCTTTGCTCATCGGAAGGTTACTTTTCACTCCACATTCAACAACATTTATGGACATTGGTCTCTGCTCCTTATGGACCAATGGCTTTGGAAAGTCTGAGATAACTACTGCTGTAATTTAGGGCAATAAACGTTTATACACGTGACAAAAATATCTTTAAACACAGATTTTTAGTTGACTTTGTAAACTTTTTAATACATTTCAAACTCTTTCAAACAAACATGCGTCATCAATTAATATTTTTTAGTTCTCATTTAATGCTAATGGCACAGTCGGAGCCAGTCGCATGTAAATGTAGCTGCTTTAACCCTTCACTGACACACACTCATGTCTCTTATGATCCCGCTGCCTTTGACGCTGAGTGGCTGTGACATTGTATTTGTAATGGAAGTGCACCCATCACATTGTGTATAGGGCCAAAGCCACAGTATTGAGGGGGATCTTTTAAAGGTCATCTCTAATTTGACCCCGGTGCTCTGCTGTGCGGGTGCTCGGTCAGCGGCTGATGAATGGCTGTGCTCGCCGCGAGATTGTTACAGTTACACACTAATTGAGGGGTCAGCACTGAGAGCAGTCGTGGTAATTGAGTGTCCTTGCTGTTAGCTTAGTGGCTACGTTGACCCGGACTCCACCAGCTCTGCTCCACTTCTATCTCCCTCAGTCTTCTGTCTTCTCTCCGCCAGCTCTCCAAAGCATTTATACAAGTTTATTTTAGTTCAAGGTCTAATGTTACGCAAATTGTCAAAACCTGGAGCCAGCGGTAACATTGGTGCGCTGTTTGAGTAAAACGGACTTGACATTACGCTCTGACCGGGATTTTTACTGCCACATTTTTAACCAGATAAATGCTTTTTTCAATGTGGAAATATTCAGTTAGCTCAAAGAACGAGCTGCTGCAGACCTTGAGGTTAGACTTTGTGGAGGCAGACGCGTTTTGTAGGAGGTGCTTTGAGACGAAATGTAGCTTTAGCAAAAGAACAGTCATGATTAGGGCTCGTGTTGTGACGGGGGCAGGGCCTTTACAGAACCTCAGGAGCCGTGCGTGCGAAGGATCACGTAAAGATGGTGCTCAAGACAAGTTTAGCTTCACCTGTCTCTCTCATTTCACTGTTTAAATTACATCACAATTGTTTTGTGTATATCGCTAAATCACAACAGGAATTCGCCAACACAGATCAGAGAATCGAACTCACTCAAAACTCGATCCAACTCTAATATTACTCTAATGCAAGGGTCTAACTGTTGAGATAATTAAAATAAATAAGTGCAACTACTGTGGAGGTTATGGAGATCTGTAAGAAATGATCCGAGGAGTTTTAGTGTGATTTTACTGCTGCGTATGTAATGGTGACTGAATATATACTACAGTAATACTATACTGTTATCTATTACTACTGTATAATAATAATAATGGTTTGGTAGCGCTTTTTAGACTCTCAAAGATGCTCCACATGTTCTTATTCATTCACTCCATACACTGTGGGGATAAACTAATACAGTAGCCACAGCTGCCCTGGGGCACACAGGAGCGATGCAACCTCCGACTACCACTAACGGCACGGTGGCTGAGTGATTAGCCCTCTCGCCTCTCAGCAAGAAGGTCCTGGGTTCGAATCCCGATCGAAACAGGGCCTTTCTGAGTGGAGTTTGCATGTTCTCCCCTGCGTAGGTTTCCTCCGGGTACTCCAGTTTCCCCTACCACTATAAACATGTACAATAGGTCTGTGCCTCCTGTACTGGCGACCTCTGTGTGGAGTGAGAGACGAATGCCCACAATTGTAAACCGCTTTGTGACTCTGGTCTGTGAAAGGTGCTATATAGATAAACATTACTCACTTACTTAACCATTCACACACACACCAGACTTTTTCTAATGTGGGGGAAGTGTCTTGCCTAAGAACACAACCACAGTTTGGCACTTTACAGCCGCAGCCGCCCCACTGTGTATGAAGCCAGACATGTTGTAGTCCGTGTTTTAGTCAGAACAAATATATAACACCTGTAGGATAACACTGCAGCTGCGTATAGTTTTAATATATTACATTTGAAAAGTCTCTGTAAAGGCGAATAATAACGCATATCTCCTCTGTGTGTGTGTGTGTGTGTGCACTGTATGTATGTGTGTGTGAGTGCTGACCCGGCTGCTGTCCAGTACTTTGCGGTGCTGGCACAGAGACGGTTACAGTGTTTGAGGCTTAAGTTTAATGGATGTGCTGGCCTCCGAGTCCAGAACATGTGTGGAGCAGAGAGACAGCCTCCACGCTTCCATTTACACCTAATGGCTGCGACTGTGGCGAGTTGTGAACAGCGTCTGTGTGAAAAGCTACAAGGACAAATGGACTGTGCTTGTAATGAGTGTGGGCCAGAGGGAACCGGGCTAGTTAAAACTCCGAGTTGGCTTGACTATTTTGTCCCCTGTTCCCTGACTCCGGGTTGCACCTTTAAACTGCGATGTGTCACTAAACGGCGGTAAGGGTCTCGGTGGACGCGGTGAGAGGACTGAAGGAGCAGGACTAAACTCCGCTTAAACCCACTTTAAATCCATGCTCTACACCCGGCTGCTCGGAGAGGAATCCTCGTCAACTTTTCCTAACTTTACTCCGACAGTTTTAGACAGAGTTTTGTTGTTTACTCGTGGACCGCGGCTCAAATCTCTGGGCATTCTTGCGTTTTTTTTAGTTTCCCCACTTTTCCTTTCCCAAATATGTCATTGTTCTACTGCTCAGAAATGTGAATGTTGTAATTACCATTTGCACAAACATGACAGCAGCTTCATTGATATG